TCTGGCGCGCAGATGGGTGAAGCCAGGGGAGCCCTGGATAAATTGAGCCTGGTGTGGAGCCACGCGAACATCAGTCAGAGAAGAAAGATACAGCTGTTCAACGCATGCGTCATCTCCAAGCTCACGTACAGCATCGAGGCCCTGTGTCTGCGGAAAGCAGAGAGGGATAAGCTTGACGCGTTTCAGGCCCAATGTCTTCGCAAAATCTTGAAGATCCCTAATTCTATGATCTCCCACGTATCCAACGAACGCGTGCGGCAGCAAGCAGGGCAGCACCGCTTGAGCAGCCACACTCTCGTGAAGCAGCTTGACTTGTTTGGGAAGCTTGGTGGCATGCCGGACTCAGCAACTCGTAATGCAGTCTTCGCGCCCGGGGATCGCGCACTGGGCGGATCGCGGCGCGCCTTGGCGATGCTCGCCTCGCAGGTTGTCTACTATATTGATTTGGGCACCGCGCTCGTGCGGCGCTCGCGCGGCGCGAGCCCGTCTTGCACAGAAGACGTGCAAGAGGTCGTCCCAGATTGACGTGGGTACGGGTAGTGCCCGAGCACGCATCGCAAGCAGGTTCGGCCTCTGGCACACCTGTGCAGGCTGAGCTCGGCCCTGTCTACAGCAGAGCTCGGTGGAGAAGCACTGCCCAGACGCACGCTTTCTGAGTTCAGATGTGCCCACGGCCTGCTGCTGGCTGCCCTCCCCCCTCTCCTCCCCCTCCCCCTCCTCCTCCTCCTCCTCCTCCTCCTCCTTCTCCTCCTCCTCCTCCTCCTCGTCCTCCTCCTCCTCGTCCTGCCCTTTTTAGCCGGCAGGGTCTCTTTGACTGAAGACTTGCACACCAGAGGATTTATTAACCGCATTTCCCCGCGTGTGCGTGCTGATTCATTAATTCTCCGACTTGCTCAACGCACGGTCTGCCCTCTAGGGGGCCGCTCCCCGGCCCCTTGCCAGAGTTGGCGCGCAGACCGCCATGCCATCCATGCCATGCCATACGTCTTCTGAGAGTTTATGCATCAGAACTGCTGAATTCAATCCCGTGCTGTTTAGCCGATGCGCCGTGCGGCGCGGCTCCACTGACTGACTGGCTGCTCTCGCTGAGGCGCCGGCCTCATTTTCGGGCCCCGCTCGTTCCGAATCGTGCTCCAGCTGCAGCGCTGGCCTCATTTCCGTGCTTCCGCTCGTTCCGAATCGTGCTCCCGCTGCAGCGCTGGCCTCATGTCCGCGCTTCCGCTCGTTCCGAATCGTGCTCCCGCTGCAGCGCTGGCGTCATTTCCCGTACCATGCCACGGCATGCAATGCAATGCTAGGTTGCGTTCCGCTGCGCGATGCCATGCCTTCAGCTGAAGCTGCGATATGCAGTGCTTAAGTGCCACGTCGTGCTATGCCATGCTACGCTTTGATCTTCAACGCCATGCTATGCAATGTTATGTTCGGGGCCGCTGTGCGATGCCATGCTTTGCGTTGCAAAGCTTTGTGATGCAATTCTTCACTACGCCACGCCACGCCACGCCATGCTGTGACATACTACGCTTTGCGGTGCTCTTCTACGCCATGCCATGCCGTGCTCTACAATGCATCGCGTACCCTTTCGGGATCATTGCCCTGCTCGACATCCGACTGTGCGAGTAGAGAGGGGATCTACGCCATGGTAAGGGATGGGAGGGAGGGGTAGGATGTCAGATATGACGCGAGCGCACCTAGCTTGTCATCCTCCCCTTCCCCCTCCTCCTCCTCCTCCTCCTCCTCCAACTCCTCCTCCTCCTCCTCCTCCTCCTCCTCCTCCTCCTCCTCCTCCTCCTCCTTCCCCTCCTGCTCCTCCTATTCCTTCCGATCCTGATCATCTCCTTACTCCTCCTCCTCCTCCTCCCTCCTGCCTCCTCCCCCTCCCCCACCTCCTCCTCATCCTCAGTATTTTTCCACGTTCTCATCCTCCTTCCTCCTCCTCCTCGCCCTCCTCCTCCCCATCCTCCTCCTCTTCTTCCTCCTCCTCTTCCTCCTCCTCCTCCGCCTTCTCCTCCTCCACCTCCGATTCCTCCTCCTTCTTCTCCCTCTTGGGGTACGACGGCTTCTCCATCCATGTGTTCCTCTGTATGCTCCCACACGTCCTTGATTATGGCCTCTCGTCTGGGCATCGTTTCTAGATGGACTGTCCTTATAACTATTATCCTCCTCATCCGCCTATTCCACAACATGCTCCTCCACATCCATGATCAACGCAACTGGCCTGGGCGTTTAGTCTGGCTGGGCTGGTGGGATTGCGCGAAGCGTTTAGAATTACCGAGGTAGACGGGTTGTGCCAGCAGTGCGACGCTGGGGTGCCAGAGACCCCCTTCCATCGGCATTAGCAGTGCAGACATTCGGGCGTGCGTGGACACGCAGGATCTCGTGGAGGCCGCCGCGAGAAATTACGAGAGTCTGCGGTGCTTCTGGCACCGCGGCCTGGTGCCGGCGAGCTGAACGCAGACGCTCGCGCCGCTGGGGACCGACGAGCTTTGGAACTGGAGCTCCGGTAAAAAGCGGCCAAGGCCGCCAATGGTGGGCAGGCGGCGACGGCTCGGGGGGCATCCAATCGAGCCATCCGCGGTTGCGAAGGGCAAGCTGGGCATGCGTGCTTGCGGCGGTGGGTGCGCGCGAGGCTCCTCATGCCAACGGGTTAGACGACTGGTTGGAGGGGAAGGCGGGCAACGTGCCCAGCTGCCTCCAGACAGTCAATTGCCGAGCTCTTGGCGTTGGTGCCATACGTCATGGACTGCGGTGCGGAGGGGCGTGAGCTCCATTACTTCACCGACTCGACGTACGTAATGCGAGGTCGGCGGAGGCCCTGGGGCCGGGCGTCGCCAAGCCATCGCGACCTCTGGAGACAGGTGGGGGTGCTGCTGGAGCAGCGGCGCTGCGAGCTGGTCGCCGACAGGGTCGAGAGCCACATCGACGTGGAAGAGGCCACCGGCAGGGGATTCCCTGTGCTGCACGTGCGCCTCAACTAGGCTGCGGGTACGCTCGCCGAGATAGCGGCGACCAAGGCGATGCTTGCGGAGAGCGAGAGATGCGGGCGGTCCGGGATGCGGACGCGCTGGCCGCGCGCATCCAGCAGCGGCTGGCGGCCGTCCTCTGGGACGTGGGCGAGAACGACCCCAATGGTGCCGCCCGCGGCGCGGCGGTGAGCCTTCGCCGCCTGGCGTGCCCGTGTGGAGCGCGGGGCTCGAGCAGCACGCGCACGGTGCGGCTGCGGAGGGGATGCGGCGGGCCGCCCGTGGTGCCCGCGGCAGCCTCGGGCCCTGGGACGTCCGCCACGGCGAGGGCGGGAACGGAGGCCCTGGCGCGCGGGGCCCGGGGCCGCTGGCCAGGCACCTCACGCGGGGCGCGGGCCTGGAGCGCAGGGTGCCCCCGGCGGAGGGGCGGGGTGCCCTGCGCCCGTAGCCGAAGGCGGGCGGGCTGCTGGCCCGCCAGGGGGCCGCGGGCGAGGCGGCATATGTGCACGGCCTCCTTTCTAATCCTGTCCCGCCCTTCTCCCTTTGACCGAGAGTCAGTCATTCGCGGTGAAAACCGTCATCAGCATCATCAATATCACCACCACCACCACCATCATCATCATCCTCAGCCTTCCTGATCATCATCATCATCATCATCATCATCATCATCATCATCATCATCAGCAGCAGCAGCAGCAGCAGCAGCAGCAGCATCGTCATCAGCATCAGCATCATCATCACAATCATCATCAGCATCACCAACATCGTCAGCATCATAATCAGCATCAATATCATCACCATTATCATCATCATCATCATCATCATCATCAGCATCAGTATCATCATCATCAACAACAGCATCATCAGCAACCTGATCATCAGCATCATCGTCAGCAGCATCATCATCTGCATCTGCATCTGGATCATCATCAGCATCATCATCATCGTCATCGCCATCATCAGCATCAGCATCATCAGCATCGCCACCATCATCATCAGCAGCATCAGCATCAGCATTCTTACGAGTGCCAGCTTCATCATCAGCAGCAACATCAGCGTCATCAGCATCAGCACCATTACCATCACCATCACCATCTCCATCACCATCACCATTGCCATCTTCATCACCAGCAGCGACAGCCTCAACATCATCAGTAGCAGCATCATCATCACCACCACCATCACCATCAACATCATCACCACCACGACCCACACCATCACCACCACCACCATCATCAGCATCACCATCACCATTATCATCATCATCATCATCAGCAGCAGCATCATCATCATCAGCATCATCATCGTCGTCGGCATCATCAGCATTATCACTATTGTCAGCATCATAATCATCATCAACATCATCAGCATCATCACTGCCACCGTTATCGCCATCATCGTCGTCATCATCATCTTCCTCATCCTCATCCTCATCCACACCCGCACCCCCGCTACCACAATCATCAGCACCATCAGCAGAAGCAGCAGCATCATCAGCACCTTTATCATCCCTAGTGCCATCATCAACCTCACCACCATCGTCGGCTACACGCAAGAATGACCCTGGGTAAGAGTGACCTTGGAAGCACGGTTTTTTGGGGGCCGCGGGGAGACCAAACCTGGGCGCGCAAGCCGCTGCTACCTCTCCATTTCCAGCCATCTAAGGGCCCATGTGCGCCCGCACCAAGGGTCACTCGGGCAAAAGGTCACTCTTACGTCTAGTCGACTAGTGGCATCATCAACCTCATCTCGGGCCGGGCAAAAGGGGGGGATAGCAAAGGGGGGGGTTGAGAATCAGCTCACGTAGCTGATTTTCCCGGCGCCTCCCAGCGCCGGAGGCGGCCATGTATCGAGGAATGGGCCCCTCGGTGGGGCCGAAACCAGCTGCATGCAGCAAATTTCGTAACCCCCCCTTTCCCAATCCCCTCCTTTCGTCCGGCCCGAGACTAGTGCCATCATCAACCTCATCACCATCGCCGTCGTCGTCGGACCACTCGTACGCTCGCTGCGGCCGGGCACCGGCCCCCCGCCCCGGCCAGC